GTATATGAAAATGTAAAGGGATTCTACTCTTGGTATATGAAAATGTAAAGGGATTCTACTCTTGGTATATGAAAATGTAAAGGGATTCTACTCTTGGTATATGAAAATGTAAAGGGATTCTACTCTTGGTATATGAAATCTAGAAATACGAACTATTGTATTTAAACCATTTTTATAATCCCAGTTTGGACTTGATATGTCAGGAAATGAGGACAACTGACCTCCCATCTCAACAATATACTGTGGAAACTTCAAAATCTCAAGTACTAAATTGAAATTTTCATTTGACGTGCGCTAATGAACTGGTAAACAATAAAAACTGTTTACTGGAAGTTTTTCACCAATTTGGAGTGAGTACATTTATAGATTGTATGAAATAATAAAGATTATACCATGGTGTTAGTTTGTATCAATCACATTAGTATTATTATTTTTTTACTGAAGGTATAGAAGCCATTTTTGCTAACACGTGTCAAGATGTTGTCGCCATAGCAACAACTACGAAGCACATTTAACTTAAAACTAACGTTTCTCATCCACAAGTCTCCAATCATGAAATAATTTGAAGACAGAGTGTTACTTATCGTTTGAAACCTTTTTTTTTAGGAATTCCCTTGTATATAACAACTTGTCAGCAGGAAGAAAAAAGAAGTCCTTACGTTACTTGGACTTATGTTACACACCACAACGTTTACGGCTCAATTGCTATGACTACGCTTCACACCGCACGTGAAACAAAAGCTTTTACAATTGGAATTTGTTTTTCAAGAGTTAGAAACAGAGAAGTATGTTCGCTACGTGTCTTTCAAATTGTTAGAATTAACGTTAGGGGACCAGAACAACATACAATGTTGCCTGACGAAAAGTATTATACCTTATTATAATTGCTTTATTCACTAACCAAGAGTTCGACACCATCAACAGACCGTATATATATATGTTCAATAGGTTTCAAGTACAATATATAACTGTTAGAATTAACGTTAGGGGACCAGAACAACATACAATGTTGCCTGACGAAAAGTATTATACCTTATTTTTCAGTAAGTGCTTTATTCACTAACCAAGAGTTCGACACCATCAACAGACCCGTATATATGTTCAATAGGTTTCAAGTACATTAATAGTCTCTTCTTATTTTATTCCTTCCAGCTCCAGCTTTCGGTAGCGTTTCCGAAGATTGGACACAGGATCCTTATAAAGAACTGGATCGAGACGAAGGTGTGACCTCACCAAGGGCATGTATCCATATATTTGAGAAAAGGTGTTCACACAAACTTGCCTTTGAATAAAGTGGTCCGGATCGTTCCAAAGACTTGGGTACGTCTTATTTTCTTTAAATTGTTTTCGTTGTGTCACTTTGATAGGCGGGAGCTTGGTCACATGACTGACTAAAAAATTCATCAGGATATCCTCACAGTTCTGTGATTGGTCCACGGTCTTGTGTAGAAGGTCACGCAGATAATGAGTGTATAAATAGTTGTAGTACCTGAAACAGACAGCAGTGGCTTAGTACGCGAATAAACCTTAATCATCTCTAAAGTTGTTTTTACTACAAGATTTCGTACAGGATTAATCTACTAAACAGAACGGTAACCTTAATTCTCAGTTTTGTGAATTTTTGGCTGTTTAACCACGTGCTAAACCTAGTTCGAATTTTTCCAATACATTCAAAGAATATCATGTCTGTATTACTTAACCTTAGCTTCAACATTCACCATTAGATGTAATCTTAACCCACGTAGTATGACTTGACATTATTATAAACAAGGCTTAAAGCAACACAAATCACCAGTACAAGTAAATATGGCTACGCTTGTAATGACTCCAATATGATATGTAAAGTCCATCAATTTTAAGTTCAAAACAACTGGGGCGACTCCTACAGTTGAAATCTGTTTCTAACCAACCACAAGTGACGAGTTGTACTGCACCTATGGTAGAACGCTGCTTCTGTTAGTACAATGGAATACTGATTGGTCCATTTACTGGTATAACTCCAACTGGACTTAGTTTCATCCCAGTAATGGGAACGAGCAGGGTATCCCACAATCCTTTCGGGATAAGACTGCCACACCTTGAAAGCAAAATCCACCTAAAAAAATAAAAATCATCAGAATTTCCCATAATGAGTCAGTCTACAAGAATACGAACTGAAATGTATGTGTGAAACATTACACATAGTGTATGTTTCCATAAGGAAAATAAAGTAAATCTACACTGTGTAGTTCACGTTTCTATGGTAAATCTACACTGTGTAGTTCACGTTTCTATGGTAAATCTACACTGTGTAGTTCACGTTTCTATGGTAAATCTACACTGTAGTTCAAATAATAATATCACCTCTTCTGTAGAGAGAAACACATCTTCATCAAGGTTTAATATAGCATCGGTTTGAATAAGGGGATGAGGAAAGAAGCGAGAACTGATTGTCTGAAAGAAGAAAGTTACAAAACATTAAATATCTTATTACTAATCACATTTTATCATTTAACTTTAAATGAACTAAATCAATTGTTTGTCAAAAATTAAGAATGATATATTCATTGTAAAAACGTTATTTATAAGGTACGCCCCTTAATTACAAGGGCGCGGGTTGGCTCTTTGGTAGAGCCATGGATTTCCACGCGCTTATACTGTGAGTGCGTTATAGTAGTAACGGTCAAGCTCGTATGTTGGGTGCTGCTTATTCGCTGTCTTCCCTTTGGTCAGTATTTCACAATTAGGGTCGGTGATAGATATCGCTGTTTTTTAATTGTATGCAAAGCTACTCGAGGACTAACTTCGCTAGCTGTTCCTAAGTTAGCAGTGACATACTAAACGGAAGGCAGCTAGTCAACACCACTCACCGCCAACTCTTGGGCTACTCTTTACCAACGAATATCGAGCTTGACAATCACATTATAACTTCATCACCGCTGAAAGGGCGAAAATGTTGGGGGGAAGGGAGTCGAACCCACAATCCACAGATTACGAATTGAATGCTCTAATCACCGAGTCATGCTAGGTTGTAACAAGTAACTGAAACAAAAAAAAACCAATAATCCTTAAAACAAATTTAGTTGCTGTGATTATTTAAATTCCTGTTGAAACCTAGCAAATATCGCTTGTCCAATATGTTGAAGTATCCTCACATCTCCAGTTTATTGAACTATCTGTTTTAATTTGATGGTACGTTCTATTTTCTGTATTAAGAATGCTAATGATAGACGAGAATCCGAAATTCTACATTAACAGAGCACTTGACCAGTTTATCGTGACATTTCCATACAATGCGCCCCACGAAAGAACTACACTGAACTGAGTGGCCGTCGTAAAGTGCTCCAAATAGCCAGTATTAAATGAGCTCATTAAAGTTAAGCAGACAACTACTTTCACAAATACAAGTCAGTTCAGCCGTATCGTTCTTTCATAAACGTAGCATGGTGCGAGCCATTATGTAGAGCAGTGTTTCTCAACGAAAAGGCTTAAGATTAAATGTGTTTTAAGAAATGTTTACGAAACAGCAAAAGTATAATCCAAACATCACAATACCGCGAAAACTTCTAACTTCAAAGTAATGTCAAGCGTACTAACCTAGCCTAGC